TATTACTATAAAATATTTCTTAACATTTTCAATTTCTTTCTATTAGCCGCAGTGGCCACCTGCAGGTGGAACGTTGGGTCCTCAAAGTTTTAGTTCTCCCTTACCTGGACAAGTAAATTCCCCTCTTGTTCATGTTTGATGACTCTGTTGGTTTTATCATCTGCTTTTAGAAACTTAACTTTAGTGCATTTGTGCAAATTTTTTTTTATTTTTTTGGTTGTAGTTTCGACCTGTGGTTCCAACACAGCCAGGTCAGCCATACGTTCCAGCTGCTTCCCAACCATTTCGACCTCTAAATGTTGGGATGCCTGCTGTTCAAGGTCAGCATTTGCAATACTCTCAACCAATGCAGCAGTTTCCACCAAGGCCGGGTCAACCTGGAGTTGCGACACCATCATCACAGAACATAGCAGCACCATACGCTCAACCGAACTGGCCTCTTACACCTGCTGCACCACAATCACAGCTTAATGCTCCCCCCTTTAATAGTCATGTGGCTGGCTTAGGTGCTTCTGGGATGCCAGTGTCTTCATCATATAGTGTAAGCCCTCATTCCTATTTTTCCATGTTGTTGATCCCATTTCATTTTTGGCAACTTCCTGTATTCTCTTACTATGATTTCTATTTTTATTTATTTATTCCAGTTTGTGCCTTCTTCATATGGCCAACAACAGAACCCTGTCAGTGTACCAACACAATTCCAGCAAGCATCTGAAGTGCATGCACCTGTTGCACCAGTAGCAGGACAGCCTTGGCTGTCCTCTGGAAATCAAAGTGGCCAACAACCTGCAGCCACTTCTTCCACAGATTTAGTAAGTGATTCATCCATTGGATTACCTAGTCATGTAAAATGTTGAAAGATCTTTTCATGTTGCATATGAAGTGATTTTCTGTTGAAGATGCTTCCAAGAAATTCTTAGTTTCATCAGTTTTATTTATTTTATTTTATTTTATATATATATATATATATATTCATTTGAACATATGAGATGACCCTTGTGAAATATGACCTTTGCTTATAGCATTTTGTCTCTCTTAAGAAGTTAAAGGTGTTTTAGACAAGCTGAAGTACGTGGTAATGGATATATGGTTCTCTAGATTGGCAAGGCTGGCTGAGATTGGCTTTGGTCATCTCATCTTCTATATTTTATTTGGAATAGAAAGCTTATATGGGTATTGTGTCAAGTAGTATGGTCTTAATGCTTCAAATTGATCATGACTACCTCATGAGTCTCTAAATAAAGTATGACCAACATGTTTTTAGCCTATAATATTTAAGTTACAGTGTAGAGGAAACTAGGAGTGGAGTCTTAGAATTTATACTTTATAAAATATGTACTCCATCAGACCCTTTTTTTTAAATCTTTGGGTGAGCTGCGATAATATCCATTTATTGTTCTATGATCTCACTTCTTTTGACTATGCACTTTTGGACCATCAGGCAGCTAATATTTCTACCCTTTCTCAGCAGTCCTCCTCTGATTGGCAAGAGCATACATCTTCTGATGGGAGAAGGTAGCTTCTTATTGTTCCTGAACTTGTATTTTCAGTTCATTTTGGTGTCAAGAAGTTAGTTTCTTGAACTGATATTATGCTCATTTAGCAAGCATATATGCTTTTATTCATTCTATTTAATGCACTTTTTTCTTTATGAAAACTTATTTCATTTGGATTTCTGGACATTGCTCATACGATATTCATCACTCTTTTTCTCAGATCCATCTAACCATTCATATATCTTTCCAGATACTACTACAACAAGAAGACTAGACAGTCTAGTTGGGAAAAGCCTCATGAACTGATGACACCAATTGAGGTGAGAGATTTAACTGACTGGTTGCCATTTCTGAAGTTTTAAGTGTTGCCTTTCATGATATTGAAAATGTGTTTGATGTGTTATGCTATTTTTTAAACTGTTCCCTTTGTGCCTGTCGAAAATTGCAGCCATTGTTATTAAATTGATCGATATTGTTTTATTTGAAATTTTGTTTCATCTTGCTTGTTTTTGCATTGATTTGTAGATGTTCTTGGCACATTTGGGGAAATTTAATGAGTACTCTATATGCTTACTTTGAGGGCGGGCCTTCACTTTCTTGAGGCAGGCTACATTTCACTATCTATATCTTGTTTATCATGTGGGGATAATTGTTTAATGTGAAAATGGTGGTTGGATGTGCTTAAGTAATGCCTAATAGGAACTGTTTTCACTGTGTCCTCCATTGAAAGTGAATTTCTACTCAAGGATGAGAAAATGAATACTTCTCTGCCTCTAAAGGTAGATTTATAGTTACCATTTTCTGATGGAATTTCCCTCTCTAACTTGCTCTTGTCTGATGGTTATTGGTTATGCATCTTAATGTTTTTTATTGGTAGTCTTTTTGTGTTCACTAATCCTGTATATTATATTAAATAGAATTTAGAAAACAGATTTTGGTTTATGCATTATGTGCTGTTCATAATATATTTGTCAAGAACATCTGTATTATCTGCTAACAGCTAGTTCTTACTATGTAATGAATCCCTATTTCTTTTTATTTTTGTGATGTTTTTTTTTTGAGGAATTTTGTTTAATAGTTTGCATAGAGTTCCATGGATACACATTGCTACTGATTATAAATGGTAAGGAATGCTGGTTCAATGATGCTTGCCATGCTTATTGATTCTCTAAATTTTTATTCTATAATTGCTATTCTTATTTTACTTTCTTCACATAATAACTTGTCTCTACAACAGAGGGCTGATGCATCTACAGTTTGGAAGGAATTCACCACTCCAGAGGGAAGGAAGTATGTTGGAATTCTGCTGATCATATTCATCATCTATGTTTCTTCCATTGAGCACTTCTTTGACACAATTCCAGCTTGTGAAATTTCATTCTCATGATGTGTTGTGAGGTCATTGCTTTTGCAGGTATTATTACAACAAGGCTACTAAACAGTCAAAGTGGACAATTCCTGAGGAATTGAAGGTTTGTAATTTTCTTACCATTTGATATTATTTTGCAGCCGTTGCAGTTGTAATAGCAATTTCTAATATTTAATTCCAGTTGGCTCGTGAACAAGCTCAGATGGCATCTAGCCAAGGAACCGTTACAGAAATTGGAATGACTTCTCCAGCCCCTGATCCAGCTGCTTCAGCTACTGCTGTTTCCTCCGCTGAAACACCTACTACAGCTATCCCTGTTAGCTCCAACACCTCACTGGCTTCCAGCCCAACTTCAGTTACACCTGTTTCTAATCCTTCCCCTACAATTGCGCAATCTGCAGCAGCAAGTGCTTCAGGAGTTCAACCCTCTGTATTAGGTGTTACTCCACCTGCTGCTGTTGCAGGAAGTCCTAGTGTTGCTGCTACTTCGGTGAATGCTGGGCTAACAGTAGTGTAATGCACATCTCTTGCTTCTTTAGTATTCAACAATCTTAGTCACCTCTGACACGTTTGAAATTGAATGCTGCATTGCCCTTGACACAGGAGTGGTTTTGAAAATATAAAATCTCATGATGCTGCACATTTGGTAGATGGAGCTGCTGTGCATGATATTGAGGTAAACATGCGTGATTGGCTGTTCTGAAAGTTCTAATTCATCTGGTAGGAGAAAATATTTATTTCCTATGATTGACTTATTCATGCATTGTTAATCAGGAAGCCAAAAAAGGAATGGCAGCAGCTGGGAATGTTAATGTAACTCCAGTAGATGAGAAAACTGCAGACAATGAACCTTTGGTATATGCCAATAAGCTGGTACCATTCCTAGAAACTTGGTGCTTTTTTGCATCTTCTTCTTTTCTGAAGAATATCATTTGAGTTCATTCATTTTCTATCCTGAAAGATAGGAAGGTTTGATGCCATCTATATCATCAACATGACATTTTTATTTTTTATTTCATTTATTTATATAGTTTTTCCTTGCCTTCCTGTTGTAGGAGGCAAAAAATGCTTTCAAAGCTCTTCTGGAATCTGTAAATGTTCAGTCTGATTGGACTTGGGAGCAGGTGGCTCAGCTATTTCTTCCTTCTCCTGTATTTGATTATTTAGTTAAATCAGTCTTTATTGACATTGAAATCTATCTCAGACAATGAGAGAGATAATTAATGACAAAAGATATGGTGCTCTGAGGACAATTGGTGAGCGGAAGCAAGCATTTAATGAGGTGAACGTTTGTTCCACATTTTTAATTTTAGGCATTCCTTTTTGGTTGGGTTGGGCATGTTCGACTCCCTCCTATTGCTGCTTGTTACATTCAGATGGGCATTTATTTGTGCTCTTGCTTTACTTTTGTTATTTATAACAGCATTTGTATTGTTCTGACATTAACTTGATCATATCAAAATATAGTATTTGGGTCAAAGGAAAAAACTGGAGGCTGAGGAGAGGCGCATGAGACAGAAAAAAGCTCGGGAAGAATTCACGAAGATGCTGGAAGTGTGTTGCATAACACCCAAGTTTTCCATTTTTTTTCCTTTACTTTTGGACTTCTCTTTGATGTTATGCTTTTGTTCTTTGATTTCTTTCCAGGAGTGCAAGGAACTTACATCATCCATGAGATGGAGGTCAAAGTCCCTTTCATACACTTTTGATCATGCTTGGGCTTTGTTACTGTAGAATATCATTCTAGCAATGTGGAAAATGTTTTCAATGTTCTAACTAAATGGTTTCCCTGATCAGTAAAGCTCAAAGTTTGTTTGAAAATGATGAACGGTTCACGGCTGTTGAACGGCCTAGAGACCGAGAGGATCTTTATAAGACCTACATTGTGGAACTTGAGAGGAAGGTAACAGTTTGTAACTTCTGGCTTCTTCTGTTAATCTGTGTGTATATATGTTGGTCTCAAATTATGGATATGGTACATAATAATTCTGAACTTTGTTTTGTGCTCCAAAATATTCAAAATTATCTGCCTGAATGAGAAAAAAAAAAAGGAAAAAAGGAAAGAATACCTTAATGTTGTGTGAATTAAGCTCATGCTCTCTAAATGAGAAGGTGATAACAGTCAGATTCTCAATCTTTGTGTATTTTTCTCTCTGGGTGTGCAAACTAATACAATCTGGCCCTCATATTTTTTTGGTTCATTTATAATTTGGACAATAATGGGAGATAATATTGGCCCTTCATATATGCTTCTTTAGATGTAACTCCAGTTAGCCTCGTTCAACTTTCATTGTTTTATTTATGTCATCAATCAATCTTGTGATCTTGGTCTTTTTGGAGAATATCAAGATTTTAGTGTAAATGATATACAAAAATGGTCAAACACATTATGAATTTGCATTCTTGTGTGTATTGGGACCCTAGAAGGTCTGGTCTAAATTCTGCTTGGCAATGCTTTCTTACCATTAATTTTTATATTAATGCAGGAGAAAGAAAAGGCTGCAGAGGAACATAGGCGGTATGTAGCAGACTACAGGAAATTTTTGGAATCCTGTGATTTTATTAAGGTATAAGAGTGAGAAATGGGGTTATAAATGCTTCCATTTATTTGATGTTTTGACTTTTAAAGCTTAATTGATTTATCATACAATTTTCAGGTGAACAGCCAGTGGCGGAAGGTTCAAGATCGCTTAGAGGATGATGAAAGATGCTCACGTCTTGAAAAAATCGATCGCTTGCTTGTCTACCAGGATTACATTCATGACTTGGAGAAGGAAGAAGAGGAAAAGAAGAAGATACAGAAGGTAGATTACATACTATAATCATTTAATTCATGTCCAGTATGTGCATTAACTCTTTTTTTTTTTCTTTTGTGTTTTGGTGAATGTAAGGAACAATTGAGACGTGCTGAGCGGAAAAATCGTGATGCATTTCGCCAACTAATGGATGAACTTGTTGCTGATGGCACGCTAACTGCTAAAACTCACTGGCTTGATTATTGTTTGAAGGTATTTAATTTGTTTCTTGAAAAATATGAGGGAGAGTGGCAGAGATCAAGCATTGTAAGGTATTGCATCTTTGCATCAGAAATAATCCTGCACTTAGACTTTTTCTGGTTGGTACATAGGTCAAGAATTTGCCTCAATATCTTGCTGTTGCATCAAATATATCTGGTTCAACCCCAAAAGATTTGTTTGAGGATGTTGCTGAAGAATTAGAGAAGCAGGTATGCCACACCTAACTTCTCTCTCTGTTACATGTTGCTTCTTCTTTTATCCTTAGGATCAAGTTTTGGCATATTATGTATTGACAATCAAAAGATATGCTGGATTTCTTACTTGTCATTTATTGCAAGACTGCATTGCTTTATTGTTTCACTTAGTTGTTTTGATTAAAGCTGAGTTTGGTCAAGTTGTGTTGCTTAAAGTTGGAAAAAAATGGTAATTATGCAGCTAACTACTTCTCCATATTGATAGTATCATGAAGATAAAACTCGCGTAAAGGAGTCAATGAAGTTGGGCAAGGTAACATACTTCACTGTTCTTATTATGTCATATGATATACAGCAATGGCTTATAGTTAAGTGCTGAAGCCCCCTTTTCTGTCCTGCACCACCAGATTACAATGATTTCTACATGGACATTTGAGGACTTCAAGGCTGCCATTTCAGAAGAAATTGGTTCTCCACAAGTATCAGATATCAACTTAAAGGTAGTTATTTTCCTTTGTCCTTAAATCTATTGCCATGTTACTTGAAATACTTTTACCAGAAGGAATCATGACATAAAGTTATTTGAGGTTCTTTGTCCTATGTCATGACACTTTGGTGACAAGTACAGTACAAGGCTGTCCTGGGGCATACATCTGTAGAGAGATACTGTTCCACTTGAGCATTAATTCCTTGTAAAGGAGCTATTGTGATACTTTTACACTTAGTCAGGTCTTTTATACTACCTGAAGACTCTTCTTAGTATGCTAGACTTTTTAAGATTCCTGGTTTGTGTTGTCTTAATTAATATGCATTGGATCTCCTCTCAGACACTTGTTCTTTCAATTCAGCTGAAAGAGGCTTGCTTTTAGTAGTTTTTAAGTTTCTACTAACTCTGATTGAGAAAAGGTGTAGATAAGAACGCTAACTTTGTAATTTTTTCTATTTAAAGATGTAAACTTTGGCAATTTCTAATTAAAGCTGTAAATTTTCAATTTTTTTATTTAAGGATGCCAACTTTGTGTTTTTTCTATTTAAGGATTAATTGGATGGTGATGCTGACTTAGTAAACACAAAGTCAGCATCCTTAAATAGGAAAAATGCAAAATTGGCATCCTTAAATAGAAAACATTGAAAGTTTACTGTTTTAATTAGAAACTAGCAAAATTCGTATCCTTAAATAGAAACAATTACAAAAGTGGCATCCTTTTCTGCATATTTTCTCAACTTTGATTTCAGTGTTCTTCTAAAGTTTAGATTTCTTGTAGGAATTTGTTCTACTATAGTTTAGCTGATATAAGAATTATGGGAGAAAGTTCACTTGTAATACTCTTTTGTAGCTCATATACGAGGATTTACTTGAGAGAGTCAAGGAGAAGGAGGAGAAAGAGGCTAAAAAGCGCCAGCGTCTTGCTGATGATTTTACGAAGCTATTGCATACATTTAAGGTATGTAAAAAGTGTATTGTTTTGTTAATTGTCAAAGAGATTCCTTTCACCAACCTATTTAACATATGGTTGTTGTGCTGCTTTATAGGAGATAACTGCATCTTCTAATTGGGAGGATTGCAAGCTGCTTTTTGAAGAGAGCCAAGAATACAGGCATTTCACCTTTTTGTTGTGGGCAGCTTTTTGACATTAATTAATTATACTTAACCCCATTGTTTCTAACAAAATTTTTTGTTCTTGATTTTTGGCAACCTCACAATTTTATTAGATTGATTGGGGAGGAGAGCTTTGGGAGGGAGACCTTTGAGGAGTACATTACTTACTTGAAGGAGAAGGCCAAGGAAAAAGGACGCAAGCGTGAGGAGGAGAAGGTACCTAAATTCTTTATAAATAATTTTTTATATGGAGGCCAAAAAATATAATTATATATATAGAGAGAGTTAGGATTCATTTACACTACACTTATATAAGATTTTGACCATTCATCTCTCCATTTTTAACGAGTGAGATTTACTATGACTTTTTAGATAAAAATGATAATTATCTTTAATAAATATGATAAAAAGTGAATAAATCTAAACCATTGGAAGTGGAGATGAATGGTTGAGATTTTGTGTAAGTGTAGTATGTAAGACGTGCGTAAATGGATTCCTACTTATATATAGTTTTTTTCTGAAAAGTCCAATTCCTATATTACCTTGAGCCCCATCAGCCCAATCACATCGAAGGATGGAGGTTCTTTAGGAGAATTGAACTTAAGAAGGAGAAGCTACAAACTTGGTTCAAGGCACTGATTGAGATTCTTAGTTTCTGAATTTATATCAAGGTGGTAATGCTAAATCTAGAAACTCAGGAACCTGCTATAGAGCTTGTTTTTCTTTTCTTCTTCTTCTTTTTTTCCTGGTAAAATAAATAGAGCTTGGTTTTGTTGATTGATTGCTGTCTGCTGAAATAAGATGATCTCGTAAATGCTAACATGAATTGTTCATAAAATCTCTACGTATCACTAAAATATATTTATGATTAGACCTGTTTATGTTGGTGTTTCTCAGGCTAAAAAGGACAAGGAAAGGGAGAAAGAAAGAGAAGAGAAAGAGAAACGGAAGGAGAAGGATAAGGAGAGAAAGGACAAGGAAAGAGAACGTGAAAGAGAAAAGGAACGAACTAAGAAGGATGATACAGACAGTGAAAATTTGGATGCAACAGACAGTTATAACCATAAAGAGAGGAAAAAGGAAAAAGACAGAGATAAGAAACACCGCAGACGACATCAAAGTGCTGCTGATGATGGGAATTCTGACAAGGATGATAAAGAGGAACCTAAGAAGTCCCGCAGACATAGCAGTAGCAGTGACCGGAAAAAATCAAGAAAGGTATATAACTATTTACTTTGCTGTATTAAATCCTGGAACATGGTTTAATTTTCTTTCATTATATTTATTGGCAGCATGCATATTCACCTGAATCGGATGGTGAAAGCAGGCACAAGAAACACAAGAGAGATCATCGGGATGGTTCCCGTAGAAACACTGGTTACGAGGAGCTAGAAGATGGAGAACTAGGCGAGGATGGAGAAACCCAGTGATTTGCCATCATCCTAGCCTTTTCAGATTGTTAACATTGGTGCATAGGTGATGTTCAGGCACTTTCTAATCTACACCTCATGAAAAATGCTTGGATAGTAGGATGTGTTTTCAACTCTTCTTCTTTGGACTTCTCGCAGCCTGAATGCCAGAGCAAAACTCTCCTTTCGTGACAGAAATGAGTGTCAATGAGAAAATGATTCACATATGATGTTTTCTTACAAGAAATATTACAATTCAAATTATGATTGGCTCTTTCTGAATGAATATTATACATAATGTCATGTGACCATTTTAAGAAGGGTTTTATTTATTTATTTAACTTTTTTGGTGGAACACTGAGAAATAGGGGATGGGGGAATTTCTTACTACACAAGGGTTTGAACCTCGGCAAGTGCCAAGGACTATGATGCACTTTTTCTATTCCATTGAAGTAATTGTGAAAACCCTTTACATTCTAGCCTGGAGATCATTCATGTCTGTTACAATTTCCATGTAAATATCTTCCAAAATGGCGTCTCCTAATTCTAATCCAATATCCCTTCTCTCCGATTCAAAATCGCTCCATTCGTGTAATGAATGAACGAAATCTGAATCCAACAACTGTGTCATGTTGGACAGTTTCCCCCAGCACTTTATCTTCTCCCAGATGAGCTGCCGAAGCTCCTCTGCCCCTAAAACTTCTTTAGAATTTGACCCTCTTCGTTCTTTCCCCTTACGGTTCTCCACCAGCTCCCTTACACAATCAAACATAAGCTGCTTTGTTTGATGCAAAACCTTCTTGGATATCAAATACTGTGAGTGTGACGGAGGATTAATCCAAACAAGCTCTCGTAATTCTCTTGATCCTGCAAAATTGGATTTCCCTGTTGCGGATTGGAGTAAATCCGAGGCTGACTTTGTGAATATAAACTCCTCTGTTTCTGCCAAAATGGAAATAATTCAGTCAGAAAATATGAGATTATTGCAGAGCTCAAAATAGAAAAATGGATACTTACCATTATGAATTGGGAAGCCTCTTGAACAGGGTGGTTCCAATACCGAAGTGGGGCTGTGTTCTTTGCTGTCTTTCACTCGTCTCCATTGGAACTTCTCATCTGTATCAGCCTGTTAGCTTTGTAAGTAACAATCATAAATTGAACCCATGTTTTTTCTGGACAATAAGAAACAAGAAACATAAGCATTGCTACCTCGTTTCCTCTTTGATCGTGGAACTTTACAAACTGGGAATGGTTTGCAGGCGTTAATGGTTCTTCTGTGTCACTTTCTGGGAATGAGTTATACACCGTTCTGCTGCTAGTTGAGGAAAATCTATCTGATTCTGCAACTTCCTGGGTAGTCCTAGGCTTTGCATGTTTATCATCAGAGCTTTTGTTTCTTGACAGCAGCTTGCTGTATACAGCTCTCAGAACCTTGGAAAAGAGTGGAAATTTCTTTCTATTGTTGCTTGAATTGTTAGCTTCTGAATTCATGCCCTTTTTGACACGCCCTCTTTCCGAAAGGTAGACCTCTAAGATGAAAGGCTCTTGCTGCTCCTGGAGAAACTCTCCAAGTTTTGGTGGTTGGAAATTTGTGGAGGTGGCCATGAGAATGAGGGTGGTGTGCAGAAGGTTTAAGGCTTTGCAGAATTGGATGAGAAATTTGTTGTATGGTGTGGGTTTAATCCTAAAAATCAAAGAGAAAAAGGGTATGAGATGAGGAGGTGGTGCAGTTGCAAGGTAATAAATGAGAGAAATAGAGCACATCTGTCAGTTTGGACTGGAACTAGAGCAGAAACACAAATAAGCTTGGGCATTTAAGGCATTGAAGGAAAGAGGGACAAATTCCAAAATCACCACGTATTATAGCATTAGCTATTGAAGAGAGCCCGAGCCCGAGCCCGAGCCCCAGATATTGTCTTCATTTTGTTTTAATTTACTAGCATCTCTCTATGCCAGTGTTTTGTTCATGTCACTTGCTTGTCCATTTTCCAATTCTCTCTATCCTTCTCATTTATACCCCTTTGGTTTTAATTATGTATTCATTCATTCTTTATGGTCCCAAAACGACCCTTCTGGTGAAATCAGGTTGGAAAATTCACATGGTCCCAAAAGGACTCTGTCTTTTGTGGAATGGTACCCATGATGGTCAGCACTGCTCATGGAATCATGGGAAAACAGAGAGACAAATTTGAATGTCTATTTTTCCTTGATTGGGATTGTTTTTTCTTCAAACCTTTTGTCAATGTTGATTCTTTCTTCGTATTTTATATAGCTCTCAGCTAATACATGCATTGAATACATGAAAATGCACCATGCATGTGAATGAGACTGAATTTTCTTTCCCTTTCCCACGACTCATGAACATGATGCAGTCAGTATCATAATATCATAATCACCTTTAATTTGTGAAAACCTGTACCCAAAACAGTAGAGAAAGTCAAAAAGTGCTAAAGCTGCCTTCTTTTTGTTCTTCTTTTGTGCTTTTCTGGGTGTTCGTTTCTTTCTGTTTTTGCAATGATTTCAACATGCATGACTTCTTTGAATGGGTAAAATAACCAGGGAAGCAAGGATCAAACCAGAATGGTGTGGCAAAATTTTTTGGCAAAGACAGTACAGAGGGCTGTTAAAGGGTTTGAAGTGGATTAAAGAGCAGATATGACAAAATAATTGCACGAGAATACCCTTCTTTTTTATTCTTGATAGCTTTCTTTAACATTTTGTGCTTCAAATCTTATGATGGCAATGATTCCTCACCCCATCTACTTGTGTTGTATGTCACTTCTATAATCTTTTTCGTTTACTATTGTGGGATTCTTTAAAATTTGAAACTTTTTAGTCGGAAAAACCCCAAAAAAAAAAAAAAAAAA